CAATGATGTCTCATTAAATATTTAATGATAAAGTAGATAAACATTCATTTGACCATTCAGCATGAACATTGACCCAGTCCGACACGCCAAAGACATGGAGGTCTCTCCAGAAGTTATTTACACCTTGTTGGATGCAGTGAGAACCAAATAGCTGTTGTAGAACACCAGTAGTAAGGATTATTAAAGCATGAATTTGAAAAGAACATTAATGAATGAAATAAGTAAGGAACTTTGTTATGAACATTGTGAACGCTGGACTGAGATGATGGTTCTCTACGAGGGGGTAGTGTGACAATCGCACTGACCAGACTTCAGTGAGGCTGTTTAGGGATTCCAGGACAGAGAAGAATAGATTGACTGTCGCATAAGCACTCCTAATTGTAGATCTATCCTATGTAAAGAGAGAAGGCAACATGGAGTAGTTATGGGTCCCCCACCACACAGGATTTCACCATAACTGTTCAGACTTGGAGAGGAATACAGCACAGAGTAGACTTTTACCTATCTGCCATTTGTAGGGATGCACCATAACAATCAGGCTTAGAGACCATAACAGTAGCATGAAACCAACTAGCTTTTAGAGGGCAAGGGCTGCACCAGCATAGAGTATATGTGAGCCATGCTGCTTAAGCTAGTGGCTTGTCAAACTACCTTGCACAGCAATTGTTGTATTTGTCCTGAGCATTCCGATAATGCAATCTTTGCAATAATCTTGAACCGTCTCCCTGAACATAGGAGGAACTGTTAAATTTTAAGAATTTGTTAAAACCATATATTATGTCATCTTGATAAGAGTAACTATCTCCATCAAATGTTCATTCAAATACCTGTTCATATTATTCTTTTGTATGTACTTCTTGTTTTTGTGCTGTGATTGCCTTGACTTATGTACAGTATAATTTTGTAAATGATTATCATCATGTTTTTGTGTAAGTCATACCTCTACACATGTCAGGGGGGTAAGTTTTGGATTTAGTATAATTTTTTTAAATTATTATTTATGACAAGTTAGAATTGAAGTTGATATGTGAACAGATATCCCCAATTATCATAGTCTCTTTTCCACAGAACCTATTGATCAAGTGAATGTGACCGGCAAGAAATGGCTGAAACATGGTGAACTCCTGAATTTGACTATACAGTGTTCAGGATCTGGCCCATGGGGCTACTGCCATAAGGTCTTCTATGGGACATATAATATAACTGGTAAGGCATTATCAGATGTAAAACTAGAGAACACTGAAATTACTACACAAATAACTGTATAAAGATTTATAAGTTTAGATTTAAAGTGACCATCACTGATGACAAGGTAGTAGAGGGGTCATTTATAATTAGGTAGCATACAGTATTATACATGAATTGAGGAAACTTCGAAGTGCCTTTCAGAGCCAACTCTGGTTATTTTGTGAGTAAAAAGGGCATAACAGTCAACAGTTAAATTGCTGATGTGTGTGATTTGTGCCAGATACACCTGCATGGACTCTTGCTTGTTGCAAACAATCAGATGGCATTTTATAATGACATTATGCATAGATATGAGTTCTTGCTTGTCCAAAGGACCAATATCAAAAAGGTTGAAAATCACAATGACTTATAATGAAATATTTAGTGAAATATTTCTTTTAAAATGGAAATTTTGGGTACATTTACACATGGCGTGTGCTTTGCATCAACACTCCCTTGTAATGTGCTGTAGCTTATACAGTTACCATTATGTGTACTGAGTGCAATATGCATATATCAAAAATTAAGGGCAAATTATGATAATTAGATTTCAGTTTGGTCTTTCTCTGAAAATTCATTGGATTTGAAATTGATTGTTTCTATTGTAAAGAGCACTTTTATAAAAAGATTATGTAGAAGGTAGCATTTCCAATTTTGGAAAAATAAGTGAGATTTAGCTTATTTTATGTAGAAAATGTTAGTTGACAATGATACCTGCTTTGAAATAAATACATGGAATTTTGAAAATTGTTCTTTTGCATTGTCTTCATAAAGAGTTGTATTTCTGGTAAAATTAAAAGTTTTGGGTGCTACCAAAGGATATAGGGGCAGTAAGTGCATTGACAGCACACCCCACCATTGCATCCAATGGTCTTTATTCAATTATTTGTAAATATGATGTAGTACAAACCTTCATGGGACACTGCATATCCAATGGCCATGCTTTGAATTTATTAGAAGAAGCGATTATTCTCTGCGAGGGTTAAGATTGAAACAGTTAACTTTTGCTGTGTGTTTATATAGATATATAACTCCTTGCAATTTATAACCCCCCTGTGACTAGCCCTTGCCCCCCCTCCCTTTTGAGCTTGAGTAAGTTCCAACGGCTGCACTCAGTTACACATGCCATTTGTTTTACATGTTTGCTTCTATAATTCTCAGTATTAAATGGTTATGGTATACTCATGCAAAATTATATGATTACAGTATATTTGTACTGGAATTGCCATCCACAATCTTCCATTCTTTTAATATCTGATTAGAAATGCCGAAC